TACGCCAATTTTAAACATTCTTCACTGGCTTCCAGTTGATAAGCGAATCATTTTTAAAATTCTTCTTCTCACCCAAAAATCTATCCATGGTCGTGCCCCAATTTATCTCTGTTCGCTTATAGACAAACAGGTTTCTTCCGTTTTACTCGTTCTTCTCAAACCCTCAAACTTGTTACTCCACGAGTCAAGCATATTCGTACCGGTGAACGCTCTTTTTCTTTCTCTGCTCCTAAACTCTGGAACTCTCTGCCTCCTCAATTACGTATAATTTCTGATCCGCAATTATTCAAATCTACTCTTAAATCATTCCTCTTCAAATAGTTCAACTTCTTTCTAACATCCTCCAGCGCCGGTGACAAGCCAGTTTTGTTTGCTTTAATAGGCGCTTTAAAAATGTGTATTATTATTATTATTATCATTAGTAAGAAAGAATATTTTTATTATTATCATATCATTGTTATCGTCATTATTATTATTTTCATTGTCATCCTTGTCATCATCATTGGTATCGGCACCATGAAACTCCTTGTCATTCTCATCAACATCATGATCATTATCATTAATATTTTATCGTCTACATTATTAATTGATAATCTGTCATTTACAACTAAAAATCTAAAGAAATATAATTAAAATCAAGTAATAATTTTCAGAGTACACATAAAATGTTTGTAGTAAATATAACTTATTTAGTTGTATATGAATAACTTAATAAGCAAACAGCTTAGAGGCCTTGTTGACATGAAACGCTATGTAAGTCTAACATATTATTATTATTATTATTAATATTATTATTATTATTATTATATCTAGTAACAAATGTGAGTATCACTTACCACATCTATTATAGCAATCAAAGAAGCCATCATTACAGACACTGTATTGAAAAAAATAAGTATGGAATAATTGAGATAATTTGAGGTATAATATGAGAACTACACAGAATATAAATAATAGTACACATATACACACCATGCGCACACACACATAGGTTACACACATCTACACACATGGGAATTCAAATCCGATTAAAGCATCTAATTCCTACATGCGCATGCCTAAAACACTAGTCTTTAATGCATCGTAAAAAGAGAAATCAATATGATATCAGCAATAAATGACAAGACGAGATCTCCG